TAATGGTAAATGGTATGAATTAAGTTTTTATTAATGACATATTTTATTTATAATTTGAAGAGCAAAAGGGATCATGGGATCAAAGTTGATGACTTAACTAGGAGTTAATGACTGTTATTTATTCAGACTTTCTATGAGAAAGAGAAAGAGTGAGCCATATAAATTGTTGAAAATTGATATTTTACTAGTTCTTATGTTTATATATAGATCTGGAAATATTGAGAATCCAAAAGCACCCACTTTCCTATTTTAATAACCAACTTATGATTTGGGGGATCAAAGAGTTATTAAAATAGGAAAGTATAAATTATTTTCCCTTTTATAAGTGCTTTTGGATTCCAGACACATATATAAACATAAGAACTAATAAAATATCATTTTTTAGCAATTTAGATGGCTCACTCTTTCTCTTTCTCAAAGAAGAACATGTATCTCACATATTAGTAGGAGGAAGCAAATATCACTAAAACACATCCATCATATTACTTACAAGAGTAATTTCAATATTATACAACTTTTCTAAGTGAAAAAAGTTGAGGTAAAGGCCTTTGAGGTAGAAGTAGAGGTTGTTTTCAAGTGGATGATGTTAGGTCATAGTAAATACATCATGAGTTTATAAAGTTCTTAGATCAATTTTCACTTTTCTTGCAAGTTTGAGTGCAAAAAGCTTGCTTAGTATCCTAACCAATTTGATGGGGGAAGCTGAAAAATTCATGTAAGTGTTGATATTTCTCAATAATGAATATTGGGTAAATTAGTGGAGATGAAACTTTAACTTGTGCATTTTCATCTAGCTAGCATAAGTAAATCTTTGGAACATATCCCATTCTCATAGCGGAAAACTTATAAACAAAAGTCTATATGTAAAAGCTTTTTATATGTAACTCTTTTTCCTTTGTATGTTAGGCACATTCTGTGAAATATAAGTATTATTCTTGCATTCAATATAGACTTGCAATAAGAACACTACATTAGATTGATGGCTAGGGCTGTTTGTTTTTTCTTGCTTGGGTGTGTTGTCATCCATATATAGTGCTATTAGCAAGTAGCAACAAATGCCTTCAAAGGGTAAAACTATAATTTATATATTATGTCAGAAAGGTTTTCATTAATGAAAAGTATCATTCCATGCAAAAGTTACAATCAATGCCAAAAATAAATAAACTCCTCCCCAAGTTATGTGATATGTAATGTTATAAAACTATATGGAGCATCGACTCACAAAAAAAGTTATAACTCTGAAAATAAGCAAATAAAATACTTATAGCTAAGGTTCTTCTCAAAATGTGAGATGTGAAGTTATTCACCATTGCTATGCACACAGCTTCACTTTACATATTGCCATTAGTTGCTTAAGCTTATATTTCTCAACATAATTTAGAGGAGGAGGAGGTGATGACTTGCATTTGGAGATTTTAATCTCTAAGCCTTGCATTGAGATAATGAGTTTATCCTTAAATTTTAAAAACATAGGAAATTAATTTTATATATAAGTTGTAGCATAATGTTTCATAAGTCTATTTCTAACACTCTTATGAGCCTTATATTGTGTAACCTAAATATCATTATAAAGTTCCTTAAACACTTTTATGAGTTTAGAGCTTCTACCTTCACCATCAAAGCCTTCACCTCCATCTACACCATGTAATGTGGAGTATCCACCATAGCCTTGACCAATTGGAGCCTTCATGATGTTACATAAAATTTGCTCATTTGTGAATTTGCATCACACTTGAAGCTCTTCATTCACCATTTTATTCCTAATCTCCTTGTGTTGCACTTCCTCACATAGAGGCACCTCCTCACATGGAAGCACATCGTCCACCTCCTTAGTTTTGTCTTTCCTCACATAAGTCACATTTTCCATTTCCTTATATTGCACTTTTTCCTCCATCTCCTCATATTGCATATAGAAGCATCTCCTCTGCCTCCTCATATGAAGGCACCTTCTCTATTTTCGTGTGTTGCACCTCCTCATATGGAGGGAGCTCTGAATCCTTTAGCATCTAGGAGTTCTAGATTTTCCAGCACTTCATGAGACTCAAGCTCTAAATCTTACTTTTCACGTCATACAATATAAAATTGTGTTCTAGGCTCCATTGCCCCACTACATAAGTTCTAAAAGAGTTAGCAAACAAATTCTAACACATTGAATTGAATCCTTACATTTCAATGGCAATCATTACACCATTTGTAGTGATGAAAACTCTAACTAGTGCATGTTTTTAAAGTGTTGGTGCAATTTCTTTTAATATCTCCATTTCAATAGGATCCTCCACCAGTGGTGTTTTTATGTGATTTGTAGTGGAGTTGATTCTTCCACAATTTGTAAAGGACCAAGATCTTGTTGAAAAAATGCATATGTTTTGTGGATCTGGGGAATAGAATATAATATGGTCCTCGATATTGAAGCCATATGTACATGAATAACATGCCCATTCTAAGCCTAAAAATTCACAATACCCACCTCAATAGAGCATGAATGTTTCTCTTAGGAAACAAAAATAATAACAAATGTGTCAATAGGTAGAAATTTATTATGCCACCCACAAATTAGTATTCCCGTACATGAATTAGAACCATGCATGGTTGATCTATAAATATTGCCTCTAAATCTCCATTTACACTTTGCATAAAACACAGGTTCATATTGTTTACTATATATTTTAAAGCTTATCAGCAAAAGACTAGCTTGAAAGTATGTTTGCGTGAGTGTGGTCATGTATATGTATAGGTTGAGCAAATTCAGCAAAGTGGAGGGCATCACCCATATGCCCCCTTCCACGTCATATAAACACATGCATAATTGACACATAAAGAATCATTACAACCACTTGTGTATAACTATAACATTCCAATGCCCCACAATTATGCTCACTGCAATGAGCATAAAACTTATACCAATGAAAAAAGCTAAATAAATGAAAAATTACCCCACACAATAACTATCTCTATGTATTGCAATATGCCCAAGAAAAGAAACAAAAAGCCTTGACCAACAATCTAATATAAACTCCAACCTTAAGTCCACAATCAATGCAAGAACAATGCCTATATCACGTGGGAATAGCACAATATGCCCAAAACACAAAGGAACGAGAGTTACAAGTATTTGCAATCTCACTTAACCTTGATCAATATATGCTAATCTTCAAGTGCCAACATCACTCCTAAATAGCACACATGAAAGAATGGAAGTCATAACTGCTTGCATACAAAGACCTCTCACCCAAACCCTAATCAATGCATGCTCCTACTCTTCATCACACCCACCAATATGTAAAATTTGCTTTTGAAGCATATCATGCCCACATCACACCTAAGATTGTGGGAAAGCTGTTGTTCTTGGCTGGATATAAAGGAAGTGCAATACTAAAGACAAAAAAAACTTCACTAGATTTTTTGTGATGTCTATGTGGCAGGTTTAAATGGCATACAAATCACATTTTAATCATATAAAATGATGTACTTTAAATTCTGTTGATTCCATATCATCATATTTTCTTGTAGTGTTAGTGATATAAAAAACATATTTAACTTTACTTTTACTACATAGGCCTTGCAAAACACCTCTGATATCTTGGATCAAACTTCCATGCTTAGTCACCTAAAACAGTACTTTTAGAAGTTCAGACTCTTAAACAACTTTAAGTAGCCTTTTATGGTCTTATTAAACGTATTATTCC